CACACCAATGAATCAGAATTATCGTTAAATTTTAATGTAAATCGTGCTTGTGTTCCCAACGCAAACGAATAACGTCGAGAAATTTCATCATAATGTGCTGCAAAAGAAAAATACTTTTGGTTGGCTGACTTGTTTTTTTTTTTTTTTTTTTCTATCAAACATTCGCAACTCCTTTCCATTCAATTACTAGTTGTTTGCCCTGCAGTTCTTTTTTTTTTTGTATTGACAGAGATCAATCAAAACTTAAAAAAAAAATATTCTTCAAGTTCATTTTAGAATAAGCTGAAATCATCAGTTTTATCATTGTTAATTTAAAATAACGATATAACACATGTTCTAGTTTAGTAAAAAGAAATAGAATTTTTCTTTAGTACTTTATTTTGATTGTTATTTAAAATGAGTTTCAACCAAAAAAGAACAGAGAAAATGAAAATAAATTAAATTTAAAAATATAAATATGTTTGTCTTAAAATATTTAAAAGAAGGAAATACTTTTTTTTTCATGTTACAAATGATAGTATGATATTAGATAACAATATTTGAATTAAAATTATTTATCAATGGTGATGACACTAACTCAGATTGTTGTTGAAGATTGAAATATTCTTTTTTCCATTTTTCAATTGATTTTAATGTATATTTTCTTTCTCTTGTTATGCAAATAATTGTTAATAGAATTAATAAACTTGTCATTAAACTCAATATAACATGACCATAAATAAATATTTTATCAACTGATAAATGAATTAAAATAAGAAATAATCGAGCAAGAAATTCTAATAGAAGTCCAATTGACCAAATACTTGTTATTATATAACACGAATAACGAAATGATGAACAATGGGCATAGATCCATTCATAGACTTGAGAAACTTCTTGTTTATGAGTTAATTTTGCTAATAATTCTTCTTCCTGCATCTCAGAAAGTTGATCATCGATTGGTTCTTGCACATCCTCAAATAAACGATCAGGTAATCCAATATCTTTTCGTTTTGTTGGTACTAAATCTTGATAAAAATAATAAGCAAGTGGTCGTATTTTACATTGACGATGACAACAACGAAATGGTATCAATGTTATACCAAAAATAATAGATATCATACCAGTAACAAGAGATTTTTCTAATAGTAGAATAATAGGATTACGTGTTATAATAGCTGCAATAGCTGACGCAACAAAAGAAATAAAAACAATAAAACCAAGAGCATCAAATGTTCGGGACATGATACCTTTGACAAGAACCATAATAAATGGCGGAACACCAGCCGCTGAGAGTGCATATACAGGTCTGATTCGTTTTTGTAAAATTAGATAAACAACAAGAGGAATAATAAGATCGACAAGAACGGTAATAATAAGACGTGGAATATGATGTTTGAATGTATTCCAAAGTGAAAATTTAATTTCTTCTATGGATATTGATGCGCTTTCTTGTTCTTCATCTTCCAGAAGAAGTGGCGGACAGTCATTATCAGAATCAGCAGTCATTGAATAGTTTTTAAAATGCTTGAAAAAAAAAAGACATTTACTATATAAACTTTATGATGAATAAAGAAAATTGATTAATAGAGCAATTAACTCAAAAATGAAGACAAGTTTTCATGATAATACTTAAGTAGTAGAAAATCTTTTGTTTTTATATTCAGTGAACTTCTAATCCTTCTAAAAAAAAAACTACTATCATACCATAGTATGCAGATACACGTGATTTGAGTTTACACTAGAGTATTACGTTTGAGATAATCAATAAACATAACTACGTTCTTCAATGTATTTATTATCCTTGATAATAATATGTTAAAATTTATTATTTCATTTATATGTTTTTTTTTCTCAATCATATTGGTCTTTATGATCTTCTAACATTATTATTTTTTTTTGAAAAAAAAATCACGTTTGTTTCGTGCTATTTATATATTAGATATCAGTGTTTGCACGTATTCAAGTTAAATTATGAAAGAAAGTAACTTTCAACCTATTCTTTTAAATAACGACGTCAATGAAATGTTTGAAATGCTCGTTTCTTATTGGTGTGGTGACAGCAGTTTTTGAATGTCATTCTCCTTTTATAAAAGCATATGACATTTATGCCTACTACTCGCATAGTTCCCTTATGATTCATATTTTAATACGACAAGCCTTATAGTGTAATATTTTATAAATGATTCAAACGTAAACGCTACGTAAGTATTATTATGAATATATTGAAAAATGAAATTTCGGAAAATACTTACTTAAAATATTATATTCATTTTATCTGTAATCATCATTTTCTTCTTTTTTTTTTCTTCGTCGTCGTCTTCACATTGTTTCAACCCGTCGAGAGAGTCACTGATGCATATATACGTGTAAAACCTTATTTGCAAGAAAGTTTTGCTTTCCTGTCGCTCGTTTACATGTGTAGACGACCGATATTCATTAGCGTCTACTTTATATTATCAAGTGAAGAGCTGAGACACGTTTTTTCCTTTTTTTTTTTTACGTTTATAATCATAGTCGATATGAAGTTATTCTTTTTCAGCAATAAAAATAATTGACATGTTGTGATTTCTTTTTGCTTCTATCCAATTGATTTTCATTCTGTTCTTATCTTTTCAAAACAAACTAATGGACATATAGTTGTTCTTTTTTTACTTGATGATTGAAATAAAATGTTTTTCAATCATAAATAAATATTTTTTTTTTCTTAAGTGATAACAAATATTTCATATATAATTTTTTCTTTTTCTAAATAATATAATATTCATGAATTAATATATATTTTTAGTGAAAAAAAATATTAATCGATGATATTTATTCAAGAAATATTATATGTTTAGATTTTAAATGATGTATTTCATTAGCAACTAACCTTCAATATGTAAATTTGACATATATATCTTTCGTTGTCTAAAACAATGTTCTATCTAGATGTTTTAACCTATAATAAAAAAAAATCTTTGCTATGATATGAAGAATACAAACGTCTGAAAAATCGACTTTTACTACCATTTTCTTTAAAAAAAAAAATATTAAGTCAACTATATGAAAAGCAATTATTTAGAATCAGAATGTTTCGCTATTTTTGAATATATCTTCATATTTTCCTTCTAAGATAAGATTGAACAACTATCAGTAAATTTTGTGAACAACTCTAAAGCGGTATGTGTACAAAGCAAAATAGTAGTTTTGGTACAGTCATTAATATATGTTGTGGAACAGCTTCAAGTCAACATGATTGAGTTCCCACAAAATAAGATATTACAATAAGCGAAATCTCATCCACGAGTTTCTATTAAAGAGCTGATTTTCATGGAAATTATCAATCGCTATTGCAAAAATTGCTTTTAAAAATAGGAAAAGTTTTAAAATCTGTCATGTAACAGTAAATAGCACATTTTGTAGAGAAAACTGTACTATTTTAAGCTATTTCGCATTTTGAATTAATTGTAAAACAAAATTGATCAAAAGTAATATTCGATATAAACACTCTTTTGAATCTTCTGAAAGAGTGAGAAAAATTGATTCTTACTAATTGCTTCTAGCTCGAGCTAGCTGTCTTTAGTGACCGAAAAATGAGTAAATATTTTATGTCAATATTTTGGTGTCATATGTTATCGAATTGAATCTTTTATCATTTAACTGATGTATCAGAATAAATGTTTCTTTCAGTATTCTTTTATAATCTGACTTAATCTTTTTTCGGAAAAAAACACGCTACTCAATTCTTAACAATAAGGTATTGAAAGCTTTTCGACAACAAACTTGAGCAGAAAAATTATTATAAATTAATACTTAACAAGTACGAAAGGATAGACTCTAAAACTGATTTTTATCATAAACTTAAGAATATTCTTTATACTAAACAACATACAATGAAAAAATTTTTAAAATCTATTCTAGTAAAAAGCTCATTCGGCGTGTGCGACTTGCCAGCAGGAATACTCTACTTACTCGCGTGACTACTCAAGTAATTTTATGTGTAGAAATATTGTTCGTGTATTCTGACGCATACTCATACGAGTTTTTCTTTACAGGTTTCCGCATAGGCAATGATGCGATTAATCAGTTTAGTATTTGTCTTCATTTTGTCGTAGAATATTCAACAAGACATATATACACTTGTATATAGAAAAAAATAAATTGAAATTATATAATAAAGAAAAATGACATTGCATAATGGACAATGAAAGCTTAAAGAAAAAACAACTTTATTGAAATTTTACTGAACTTTTCAACAAAAGGCTGTAATTCACCTCAGGTCATATTAACACTCATCAAAAGGACATAGTCTCGGTCGAACAACAATTTAACACTTGGAGAAGTTATCTTGTGGAAATTCTTGGTACAAGTCAATTACAGTTTAAAATGAGAAAGACATTTGGATAATACTCATTCAAAGACAAAAATAAGTTTATTTTTCTCTTTTTCGTGTATTATTGTATATACATTTGTATGTAAATATTATATTTACGTGTTGTTTTGTATTCATTTCAAAATGATTCATTTTGGTGATATTAACAGAACACAAATATTAATGCAAAGAAGAAAAATATTCTAACTAACTATTTTCAATATGAGAGAGAAGTTATGCGTAGATGTGTCTTGTTTGAAAATCGATTTTTTTTCGTGTAACCGATTAACTTCCAAAATGTTTACCTACTCTATTATCAATATTCGATGAAAACCGTAGGTCTGAATCATGATATATCAATAATGTCGTTTGTGATGAGTATGTGCCTGTTATTATATGTATGGATAGATTGGACAATCGAGTGAGATTACCGTCCCGGGTTCAGAACTACGTCTTTATCGATTATTGATAACACAGTAGATGACTATTTGTGAAACTGATCAAGTACCGAAAAAAATTGACTGTCAAAAAAGACACATTTAGGCATAACTTCATTCTAAAACAAAAAAAAAACTTTCTAGTTGGTTGTGTTCGGAGTAGAATTTTATTCTCTGTAGAATGGTATGTCATTGAATATTTTTTGAAAAAATTTCTTTCTCAAGCAATGCAAATTACGATTTTGAAAAAGTTAAAAATAGACTTTTCAAGGTCAAAAATTGCATCTAGTGACGTGCTCAACTTGGCTATATTACCCAAAAAAATTTCAAGCTGCAGAACACAAATAAACTATCAATTATTCGTATTTTTACTTCGTTGAAAAAAATTCAAGTGCTCATTACGAAAATTTTAGATAAATTTCTTTGACAACATGAAGAACGATATAAATTTATTTTAGCAAGACTGACGGCGTGATAAGTGCGCCTTCGTAGTTTTTTTTGTTTCAAAAACAAAATAAGACGATTATTAAAAAAGAACGTGGCATGTGGTAATTATGACGAAGGGATGTCCACTGATATGCTGAAATAGAAACGCTGTAAACGAGAAAGAACAGCAAAATTCCTACAGCGACGGTGTAAATGACACGTAATTTTTCTTTCCTCTCTCTATGAAGTTGCAGAATAATGTTTGGTAATGTCATCAAGATATTTGTTATTCTATAATTTCATACAGGATAAAAAGTAAAATCTCGTTTTACCTTCTCTAAGGTTGTAATCATTTTTCTTTTCTTCTCTTTTGTTTCTAACTTAAAAGTTTAGAACCGCCACTACTGATATTACACGTACTTCACGGAGAAAGTGTGACGTGACGCGTACCAAAAGCGTGCAAGTATACATGGGAAAAATAAAAAAAGACTTATATTGGTGAATATATTTAATATCACCCATATAACAATATATACTTTTTTATGAGAAACAATTTATACTTTTGGCGACTTAATTGACATACGATTACAAAGAGTATATATATTCATAGCGTGTTATTATAAAGTATGAAGTACTTTTTCATTATATTTTCCGAGAGTTGTATAAAAGAACAGTGGGAAAATGTGCGTTAAGATATATAGAATAAAAGATATTATCACAATGATTAGCAATAGTAGCCGCATTGTGTTCAGTATATTGATCCTACAGAGATTGTACAAACAGCTTTTTCAATCTCTATAAAAAATATCAACTTCAATCGATGAGTGTTTAGTTATCATTGAAGAGAATGCCCATGATGATAAACGTCGATCAAGCATAATAAAAGTCCACTAAGCTAAGTAATCGACTGTGATTCCACAATCAAAGTGCTTCGTTTCATTGGAGTTTCACAGAACATTTCATTAGGAGATGAATGCCATTGAAGTCGTCGTCTACTCTATAAAATATCAGTGTTTAAATTGTTTATAGTCCTAGTGTGTATTTTGCAATTTTCATTCAACGTAAAGATTTGTTCGCTAGATTATTGTAGCTCTGACACAGATTTTAACCATACTGGACAAATTCAATATTTATGTTTTAAGAAATGAAAGAAAATTCAAACGCATTCTAACTCTTCTTTTTATTTAATGCTTTTTGGTATAATAAAGGTACGAAGAAAATGATAGTATTAATGCATGCAATTTAACCTCAATCTGACTTTTGCAATGATTACTCTGTGAGTTTGAACCATG